CATAGTGACATCATCACAGCATTCCTGACCCCACCCCCACAGTAACCTCAGTGACATCAGTGTTCCTGACCCCACCCCTACAGTGACAACCTCAGTGAGGTCAGTGTTCCTGACCCCACCCCTACAGTGACAACCTCAGTGACATCAGTGTTCCTGACCCCACCCCCACAGAGACAACCTCAGTGACATCAGTGTTCCTGACCCCACCCCTACAGTGACAACCTCAGTGAGGTCAGTGTTCCTGACTCCACCCCACAGTGACATCATCACAGTGTTATTGACCCCACCTGCACAGTGACACCTCAGTGACATCAGAGTCCCTGCTGCTGACCCTGCCCCCCTCAGTGACACCCTCAATGACATCCCAGTATTGACCCCACAGTGACAACCTCTGTGACATCACAGCATTCCTGACTCCACCCCCATAGTGACATCATCAGTGTTCCTGACCCCACCCCCCCAAAGTGACATCATCACAGTGTTCCTCACCCCACCCGAACAGTGACACCTCAGTGACATCAGAGTCCCTGCTGCTACCCTGCCCCCCTCAGTGACACCCTCAATGACATCACAGTATCCTGTTGACCCCACCCCCACAGTCACAGTGTTCCTGTTTTGACCCCACCCCCACAGTGACAATCTCAGTGACATCATCACAGCGTTCCTGACCCCACCCCCTCAGTGACATCACAGTTTCCTGACCCCACAGTGACATAACAGTGTCCCTACACCACCCACTGTGAGTCAAAGGTGAACCCTAAACCCAGTCACCTGGTTTCAGTTGTGGGGCCAGAGTGATCACTTGTCCTAATCGGGCTCAGCCTGAGACCCTTGAAGACCAAGCACAGGGACCGGTGGGGCCAGGGAGGGGACCGGCGGGATGGTGCTGCGTGAGCGCTGGGCTCCGTGATGGGCAGGTGTGGAGCGTGTGTGCCGTGTGCTCCTGAGCAGGCACCTGGGGCACTCGGAAGGCTGGGAACCTGGGGCTGAAAGACCAGAGTTCAAATCCCAGCTCTACCACGTACTAGTTGAGTCCTTGGGGGAATGTTCTGCACTCCCAAGGCCTCAGTTTCCCCAGAAGCCCAAAGGGATAAGGGGGTGAGGTCCCACTTTAAGGACATCCAGAGTATGCCCAGTGGGTAGGGGTGACGCCAAGCTGGGTTGTCCCTTGTCTAAAGACACAATTGACATCTCCATTCATTTCTTCTCTTCAGAGAAGTACCAACGGACTAAAAGGAAGAAGCCCCCTCCTCAGGAGAAAGGGGAGCCAGGAGCACCCAACAGTGAAGACCCTGTCCCGGAGGGCCACGCGGCAGGACCGCCCAGGTAGAGGCGAGGGGCTTCATGCAGGGGGTGATGGGTACACAGCTATGGCCGTGACAGTGATGGGACACTGGTCTCTCTATTACTGGATGCTTGGGGTCGGGTGCAGGTGCGTCAGCCCTGACTCCAGGTGACCCCACCTGACCAGTGGCCATCCCCATAGTCACCAGCTGAGTGGACCATTGTGATCCTTCATCTTTACTGGCCGACTGTCAGAAGTCAGTCTCCAGGCCTTTCTCGCTACCACCACTGCTATCCCAGCATCCTATTTGATCCGGTCAGCAAGGCCTCTGTGCCCGCCCTGGCCCAGGCTGACCAGTCAGACAGCCGCCCTTCCACAGGGCAGCCCCAGGCAGAGACACTTCTTGTCGTGTACCCTCCCACAGCTGAACCTCCTGCGGGGTTTCAGAGGCTGTAAATCACATGGGAGATTGTCCATCTTCTCCTGTGGAGCAGCTGTGGTTTGGAACATGTGCCTTTCTTACCACTAAGTGCAGCTTCTTACCACTAGGCCACCAGAGTTCCCACTGGGGGCTTTAAAATGACCAGCCCTAGAGCCAGCCCCCCAGTCACGTGGCATATGTTCTCCCAGCCAGCACCAGCGGAGTGGGAGTGTCATTTGGTTTGGTTGGTTTTGAATTTGAACAGCCCGTGTGAAAATGAAAACCACTTGGATGTTACTCAGCAAAGGAGGAAATGAAGCTCTGATAGAAGTTCCAGTAACGATCAGCCTTGAAATGATGGTGCTGAATGAAATGAACCGGGCAGAGACCCGGGCAGGTGCCGTGTGAGCCACTTAGACGAGACCCCTGTTGATGATGTTGAGAACCGTGGGGCCGACTCGGTCAAGAGCTGTGTCCATGTGACAGAAATACCGGTCCTGCCCACCCTCAACAGTCACTGGGGTGTGTGTGTGTGTGTATACACTGCCTGGTCCTGCCACCCTCACAGTCACTGGGGTGTGTGTGTGTGTGTGTGTGTGTGTGTGTGTGTGTGTGTGAACACTGCCTGGTCCTGCCGCCCTCACACTCACTGATATTCTTTGAGTCCCTTCTTACAGCTGTCAGCCCATCACTTCGGGACTTCTTCTTTGGAGCTGGCCCTCTGCTTCCCCAAGCACGAGTCCTTCCCCAGGGACAGACAGAGCCCTCCCTCTAACATAGCCAAAATGTGTGAGACCAAGTCTCCAGCTGTGCTCCTTCCAGGACCGGCTTATCTAGACGGGATCCTGAAGTTACCTGGCGGTGCATGTGCCATGGTTGCAGTCAGCTCAGAGCTGACCCTCCAGCAGGTTTTCAGAAGCTGTAAATCACACGGGCAGGAGAGGGCCATCCGACTCCCACAGATCACCTGGCGCATTTGAACTGCCGGAGGATTGGGGTGGGCAGTGTAGTTCTTTACCCCTAGGCCTCCTAGAATCGGCAAATTCGTAGAGACCAAGATCCACTGTCTGTGAACGAGGGGAGGAGGGCACCGTAATTCCTTGTAAGTGGGTGGAAAACTTGGAAACGTTGGGTGATGATGCTTCACCGTGGTGCCCGGAGGTAGTTAATGTTGCTGAATCACACAGGTGAAAGCAGTTGATGGGGCAAATGTCGTGATAGATCTATTCCATCACAATTTAAAAAAAAAAAGTTAAAATTTACAAGTTGGAGAGAGGAGAGAGAGCCCTTTGCTGGCTGACCTCCTGGACGGCAGCGCTGGGCAAAGGCAGGTCAACACAGCAGGTTCTGATGGCGACCGTTTCCATTTGCCGCAGCCAAGAGCCGAGTCAGCCGGACAGCAACACCAGAGCCCCGAAGCCCTTGAAGAAGCTGCTGCAGAAGAGAAGGAGCCTGTAGCTTCTGTCCAGTGTCCCGAGACACCAAAGACCTCAGCCACAGGGAGACCGGGGAGGGGGCACGGTCACGAAGACAGCAGCTCCCTGCCGCCCATGGGCCCTGCAGGTGTCTGGAGGGGGCAGGAGTGGACGACGCAGGCGTCCGAGGGAGCACGGCAGTCCCGGGCCTGGGATCCACGTCGTGGCCAGTGGCCTAGCCTGTGGGCTTCCCTGTCCTTTCTCCCACCCCGCAAGGAGCCCTGCTGGTGCCGTGTTGCACTAACATGAGATCAGAGGTTCGAATCTACCAGCAGTTCTCAAAGATGAACAGTCTCCTCCCAGAAAGGTTTACGGTCTCAGAAACCCAGTGGAAGGTCGTAGTGAGTCAGAATCCACTCCGCAGGGGTGGGCAAAGAAACCTGTGGAGCCCTGGTGGCTGCTAACCGAGAGGTTGGTGGTTCAATGCTACCTGCTGCCCTGCAGGAGGACACCTGCTCCTGACACGCTCCCCACCTGGGCCTGGCCTGGCACAGCCCTTCTCCCACCAGGCACCTCTGTGTCCTGACGCGGCCCCAGCCGGACTCGTGTGGGGCTTCGGGACCCCTCTTCTCTACAGATGTCTCCATGAAGACCCCTCCACCCTGGACCAGCATCTCTGCAGTTCAGTCACCCCCACCAGATCCCATGGGTTTCTGCATTCACCAGCCAGCAGCTGAGGCCTGGTCACTGTGGGTTCTGAGGACAGGATCCAGGGACCTGGTCATGGCTGCAGCCTGGGCCCCAAGAACCCCTGCTCCACAGTGACGTTTGTAGCAGCCTTTCTGTCCGGGATACTTGAAATCCTTGAAAGAGGCCCTACCTGGACCCTGAACCTCCCTTTGGTGAGCAGTGGGTCATACATCACAAAAAGCCCTCTGCTCCTCACTGAGAAGAGAGGGGCCCAGAGAATGGAGGGAACATCCGGAAGCTTCCTGTCTGACCACAAGCATTAAACCGCAGCCAGGGGGGCACCTTCCCCCCAGGGGCCACCTTCCCCCCCAGGGGCCACCTTTCCCCCTCCCAGTGGCCTCCTTTTCCCCCTAGGGGCCGCCTTTCCCCCCAGGGACCTTCCCCCCCCGGGGCTGCCTTCCCCCCTCCAGGGGCCACCTTCCCCCCCCAGGGGCCACATTTTCCGCCTTGACATGGGGGCCCTCGGTGGTCATTCCTGGCAGCAGATATGAGCAAGGGCCGGCCTCGGGCCATAGGCCGTTGAACAGCATCCCCAGCCTCCCCTGCCGGGTTTCCATTCAGGGCTGTGGCACTGGCTCCACGTCACCCCGACTCCACGTACGGCAGACAGAAAGCCCGGCCGTCCTGTCCTGACAGCCTCCACCGTGTCCTGCGTCCACTGTCACCGCCGCCAGTGTCACTCCATCTCGTTGAAGGTCTTTCCTCCTCTACCCTTCGGGACTATTTGTGGCCTGAATATTCTTTCTTGAAAGCTCAGTCAGACTGCTGTGCTCAGGAATGGAGGGGCTCCTCAACGGGGAAATAAGTCATCCGTAACATGTGAGCACTTTGGGGGGGATTCCTGCTAATATACTTATTGATGTGCCTACAATAATTCGTATATATACACTGTGTTTCGTGCATGTACATTGTGTTTTATACAATATTTCATTTACATTGCATTTCGTTTGTGTACATTTTGCTTTATACAGTCATTCATGTACATTACATTTTATGCAGTTAATTACTATTGATCTAGCCCTGTGATTACCCCATCTTTTCAAGTCCCTATTGAACCATTCCTATTCCTTCACCCCTCCATCCATCCACTAACCTCTGCTAGCCTAGGAATTCCCTCCTTCCCCTTCCCTGCCCCCTTCCTCCTGGCGCCTCCCCCTTTTGAACATTTATACACCTC